GACGCGGTGGCTCACGCCTGTAATCCTAGCACTCTGGGAGGCCGAGGCGGGTGGACTGCTCGAGGTCAGGAGTTCGAAACCAGCCTGAGCAAGAGCAAGACCCCCGTCTCTACTATAAATAGAAAGAAATTAATTGGCCAACTAAAAATATATAGAAAAAATTAGCCAGGCATGGTGGCGCATGCCTGTAGTCCCAGCTACTCGGGAGGCTGAGGCAGGAGGATTGCTTGAGTCCAGGAGATTGAGGTTGCTGTGAGCTAGGCTGACGCCACGGCACTCACTCTAGCCTGGGAAACAAAGCGAGACTCTGTCTCAAAAAAAAAAACAAAACTGTTGTTCTCTAAATCTCAGTGTCCTGGGACAAAGCATGGATCAATGTGGTCCACTCTGGCCTCAGGCTTCAAAGAACTTAGAACACAGCCTGGGGTACAATAACCATGTAGTAAAACACTACTATTATTTGATTATAGTAAGAATAAGTTTAACAATTTTCTAGGCCTTAGGCCTAAGGCATTGTTAGTTCTCAAACATCTCCAATTTATTATTATTTATATCAAGTGTCCTATAACCACTCTTCCATAAAATAATAATAGCTAACATTTATAAATAAACCATGTGCCAAGCACGATACATAGGTTATCTTTCAATACTCATGGTGAGGTACCATTTTTGTTCCCATTTTACTGAGGCTCAGAGAAACTACAGGACTTGCCTCAGGTCACACAGCAGAGGGGCCAGGACTAGAATCCAAGCATTCTGACTCCAGGACCTACATTTAACTTTTATTTTATCCTCCATGCCATCCCCCCCAACATGTGTGGTAGATTTCCATATTGTAGCAGGAACAACATTCCATCATTTCCGAATGGGCGAAGAGGTAACAAGGTACTTGTTTGAGGAAAGAAAAATAATTCCTAGGGGCAAAAAGAAAGCAATGACAAAACTAAAACCGTAGCAATGAGTGGTTCGTGGTTTCCTGAAAATAACTGCATGGGTTTTCTAGTAAATTGTCAGTAAACTCTTGAAAACTACTCCAAAATTACCAAGGGTCGTGACTCCCAAACTAAAGAAACCAGTCTCAAATGAAAGCCTGATTGTCTTTAGGAAGAAACACTGAAGAGCCTATAGGATTCTATGTCAAGGCTCTCTAAAAGAAGCTCTAGCAATCTAGATCCACTGGTCTCTGGTTTATAAGAAATCAGAGAAACATAATTTTATTAGCAATAATAACTAATATGTATGAGTTTTTGCTCCATACCAGGCTCTGTTTTATAAGTGCTTTTCATTTACTGCTCACATAAACTAATGAGGCAGGTACTATTGTTATCCCAATTACAGAAGAGAAGAAAGCAAACGCTGTATAGTCTTGTGCCCTGTAACAACATTTCAGTCAACAACAGACCATGTAAAAGACGGTGGTGGCCAGGCACGGTGGCTCACACCTGTAATCCTAGCATTTTGGGAGGCCGAGGCAGGTGGATTGCTCAAGGTCAGGAGTTCAAAACTAGCCTGAGTAAGAGCAAGACCCCGTCTCTACTATAAATAGAAAGAAATTAATTGGCCAACTAAAAATATATAGAAAAAATTAGCTGGGCATGGTGGCACATGCCTGTAGTCCCAGCTACTCGGGAGGCTGAGGCAGGAGGATCACTTGAGCCCAGGAGTTTGAGGTTGCCATGAGCTGGGCTGACACCATGGCACTTTAGCCCAAGCAACAGAGTAAGACTCTATCTCAAAAAAAAAAAAGACAGTGGTCACATAAGATTATAATAGAGCTGAGAAATTCCTACCAGCTAGTGACACAATAGCCATCATAATATTGTAGCACGATGTATTACTCAAGCATTTGTGATGATGCTGGTATAAACAAACCTACTGTGCTGCCAGTCATATAAAAGTGTACAGTAACGTCCCAGGCCAGGCATCCTCAAACTACGGCCCGTGGGCCACATGTGGGTGTTTTTGCCCATTTGTTTTTTTATTTCAAAATAAGATATGTGCAGTGTGCATAGGAATTTGTTCACAGTTTTTTTTTAAACTATAGTCCGGCCCTCCAATGGTCTGAGAGACAGTGAACTGGCCCCCTGTTTAAAAAGTCTGAGGACCCCTGTTCCTAGGCTATCACATTCACTCACCACTCACTCACCCAGAACAACTTCCAGTCCTGCAAGCTCCATCCACGGTAAGTGCCCTATTCAGGTGTACCTTTTTATTTCTTATCTTTTATACCATACTTTTACTGTACCTTTCCTATGTTTAGACATTTTTAGATACATGAATACTTACCATTGTGTTACAATTGCCTACAATATTCAGTATAGTACCATGTTGTTCGGGTTTGTAGCCTGGGAGCAACTGGCTATGCCATATAGCCTAGATGTATAGTAGGCTACACCTAGGTTTGTGTGAGCACACTCTATGCTGTTTGTACCATGAAACTGACTAACAGTGAGTTTCTCAGAATGTATCCCCATTGTTAAGCAACACATGACCGTATAAGTGAGCACAGCTGAGCATACTATTTTTTTTTTCTTGAGACAGAGTCTCACTTTGTTGCCCAGGCTAGAGTGAGTGCCGTGGTGTCAGCCTAGCTCACAGCAACCTCAAACTCCTGGGCTCAAGCGATCCTCCTGCCTCAGCCTCCTGAGTAGCTAGGACTACAGGAATGCGCCACCATGCCCGGCTAATTTTTTTTTTTGTATATATATGTTTTTAGTTGGTCAATTAATCTCTTTCTATTTTTGGTAGAGACGAGGTCTCGCTCTTGCTCAGGCTGGTTTCGAACTCCTGAGCTGGAGCAATCCGCCCGCCTCAGCCTCCCAGAGTGCTAGGATTACAGGCGTGAGCCACCGCACCCGGCCCTGAAGATACTCTTAGACCACAACTGGTTACCCCAAGGAAATGGAGGGCTGTGTTATTATGGAGAAATACCAGCTCTTGCCAGAGAAAGAGAAGTCAATACCCTGTGCTATCCTGAAATAAAGCACGTGTTTTAGAGGGACACAGTGAGGCAGTAGCACCGTCCAAAGTTAAGTAGCCAATGAGGTCAAAGAAATGCATTGCTTATGATTTGTTAAGGAACTTGTGCACAGATAGCCTAGCCTTAGTGCACACCTGTAGAGCACTCGCTTCCTGGACTCCTTGGCTCGAACCTTCCTCAACAGGTCTTCTAGTTTGCTCGACTCCTCAAAGTGAATCCCAAGGTCCTCATCCTCTGCAATGCTGATGATATCTCTGTAGAACAAGGATATGTCAAAGCCCCCATGTTTCTTCAGGTGCATCAAGTCAAGGAAGATACCTGGTACAAAGATAAACAAAAGTGAAGGTAAAAAAACAATTTTTAGCAAGTGAGAAACTTGCTAAAAAACCAGTTCAAGAAACCAGTTAAACTCAAATATGCCTTTAAAAGTTCCCAAAAAACTAGACTGATTATTAACATTTTCAGGACTTATAAAAAATGGCTAAGGAAATAATCAACTGCTATAATGACTTTAGACAACTTATTTAAATAACCATCATTCGTGGTAACATTAAAGTCAAGACAACCTTGTTCTGGTGGAGTTTGTTGGACAGCTAATGGCATGGCCATTTGGAGTGTTAATGTTACACAGTTGTCTTCCACTAGCTTCATTTTATTTTTTCATTTTACTCTGGTGAAAAGCAAATGCTTGATATCAGCTATAAAGAAAGCAATAAGGCTGGGCACGGTGGCTCACGCCTGTAATCCTAGCATTCTGGGAGGCCGAGGTGGGAGGATGGCTCAAGGTGAGGAGTTCGAAACCAGCCTGAGCAAGAGTGAGATCCCATCTCTACTAAAAATAGAAATTAACTGGCCAACTAAAAAATATATAGAAAAAATTAGTCAGGCATGGTGGCACATGACTGTAGTCCCAGCTACTTGGGAGGCTGAGGCAGGAGGATCACCTGAGCCCAGGAGTTTTAGGTTGCTGTGAGCTAGGCTGACACCATGGCACTCTAGCCCAGGCTACAGTGAGTGAGACTCTGTCTCAAAGAAAAAAAAAAAAAAAAGAAAGCAATAAAATTGTGCCAGGCGTGGTGGTGCATGCCTGTAATCCCAGCTACTTGGGAGGCCAAGGCGGTAGGATCCCTTAAGCCTGCAGCCCCTAACCCCCAGGGCCGCAGACCAGTAGCAGTCCATGGCGTGTCAGGAACCATCCCCATCGCTGCCATCACCGCATAAGCTCTGCCTCTTGTCAGATCAGTGGTGGCTTTAGATTCTCATAGGAGTCAGAAACCTATTGCACTTGTGAAGGATCTAGGTTGCAAGCTTCTTAGGAGAATCTAATGCCTGATGATCTGAGGTGGAGCTGAGGTGGTGATGCCAGTGCTGGGGAGCAGCTGCAAATACAGATTATCATTAGCAGAGAGGTCTGGCTATACAATAAACGTAATGCACTTGAATCATCCCCAGACCATCCCCTCTCCCCAGGCCATGGAAAAACTGTCTTCCATGAAACCAGTCCCTAGTGCCAAATGGTTGGAGACTGCTGCCACCAAAATGGTTGGAGATGCTGCCTTAAGCCCAGAAGATCGAGGCTGTGGTGAGTTCTGATCGTGTCACTGCACTCCAGCCTAGGAGACAGAGGGAAAAGACCCTGTCTCAAATAAAATAAAAATAAAAGAACAGGGAAAATGCCCACCTGTATCACGGAGATCGCCAGCTTTGGTCCTGGCCCGGCTGGCTTTGGCACTGTCATTGCCATGGGGATTGTCTTCATTGGTGAACAGCATGATCCTCTTGTGACTCATCTTGAACTGGACATCACTAAAGAGGTTGGCACAGACCCACAGCACTTCACTTAATGAATAGTCAGATCCATGGCCTATCCGGTCTTGGAAATGTTTTTTTCCCTGCTGCCCCTTAAATTGGTCAAGTTCTAGAATTCGTTTAGCACCTGATCAGAGGCAGGGAATCAAACGGGCAGAAAAACAAAAAAGAGCATCAGTGGCTGCCTTTACTACAAGGCTAACAGAAGAACCAGGGTCCCTTTCTCACCCCAGAGACCCCAGAGCTGTTTAACCCCTATAGCAGAAGTCCACATCCCAGCAAGTACCCCTTCTGCAGGGATGCATACTCCTAGGCAAGATGTAACCTTGCTTCCTTCTCCACAGCCCTCTTTGTTCAGGGTATTGACATTCTCACATGTAAAGAAAAAAATAATCTTAGAATATTACTGACCTGGATTATCCAACTCCTGTAAGACGTAAATATTTTTAAAATTCACTGAATTTTTGTCTTCCTTGGTACCATAGAACACCACTGCCAAGAGATCGCGATCACTGCTTATGATCTTATTGATGTACACACTTTGGATACACTGAAAAAATTAAAATTCAATTCATTGTTACTTACCATTAAACTTAAGTTCTGTAAGTGCCTGGCATACTTGCTGAATGGTGCTAAAATAAGATACGGCCCCTACCTTCAGAGGTAATGAATCAGTGAGAATGATGGGTGTAAATATCAAGTTATAACAAAAAGCAGAGTGTGGCAGGTATTTAATAGAAGCATAAGCAGTCCCTGCCATAAGAAGTAAGAGGATTAGCCAGGGGCAGTGGCTCACACCTGTAATCCCAGCACTTTGGGAAGCTGAGACAGGAGGATTGCTTAAGGACAAGAGTTTGAGGCTATAACTGGGCTACTGTACTCCAGCCTGAGTGACAGAGTGAGACCCTGTCTCAAAAAAAAAAGAAAGAAAAAAAGAAATCAGAAAATTTTAAAAAGCATGCATATTCTCAGAAAGGAAATTGCTATGGGGGAAAAAAAGCCTAGCACTGGAATCAGAAAACCTGGAGTTGAGTCCCACTGATGTCACTCACTTAATTGGCTGAGTTTAGACAGGGCACTTAATCTCATCCTCAAGTATCCTGATACCAAGAAACAGAGTTTATATATACAGTCAGCCCCCCACATCCATGGGTTCCGAATCTGTGGATTCAACTAACTGTGAATTAAAAACATTCAGGTAGGCCGGGCGCGGTGGCTCACGCCTGTAATCCTAGCACTCTGGGAGGCCGAGGCGGGCGGATTGCTCAAGGTCAGGAGTTCGAAACCACCCTGAGCAAGAGCGAGACCCCGTCTCTACTATAAATGGAAACAAATTAATTGGCCAACTAATATATATAGAAAAAATTAGCCGGGCATGGTGGCGTATGCCTGTAGTCCCAGCTACTGGGGAGGCTGAGGCAGGAGGATCGCTTGAGCCCAGGAGTTTGAGGTTGCTGTGAGCTAGGCTGACGCCACGGCACTCACTCTAGCCTGGGCAACAAGCGAGACTCTGTCTCAAAAAAGAACTGTAGTGCTATCTTTTTTGAAGAGCTTTCATCACAACTTCAAAGAGGTCCACCGTCCAAAAACGGCTGAAGCAGTGCTCTTCAAAATGTGGTCTCCAAATCAGTACCATCAGCATCACCTGGGAACTTACTAGAAATGCAAAATTCTTTTTTTTTTTTAAACTAAAGGTCTAACTAGAAATGCAAATGCTTGGCCCCTGCTCTAGATCTACAGAATCAGGGTAAGACCCTGCAGTTGGTGTTTTTTGTTTTGTTATGTTTTGTTTTTGAGACAGAGTCTCACTTTATTGCCTGGGCTAGAGTGCCATGGCATAAGCCTAGCTCACAGCAACCTCAAACTCCTGGGCTCAAGCGATCCTACGGCCTCAGCCTCCCAAGTAGCTGGGACTACAGGCATCCGCCACTATGCCGGGCTAGTTTTTTCTATATTTTTAGTTGGCCAATTTCTTTCTTTCTATTTTTAGTAGAGACAGGGTCTCGCTCTTGCTCAGGCTGGTTTCAAACTCCTGACTTTGAGTGATCTGCCTGCCTCGGCCTCCCAGAGTGCTAGGATTATAGGAGTGAGCCACTGTGCCCAGCCTGCAGTTGGTGTTTTGATGCCCTGCATATGATTCTGATATAGGTTGAAGTTTGAGAATCACTTCTTTAAAGTAAGGAATATTTGTATTAATTTTTTTTTAGATGCAAGATATTCTGGTTTGCCAACTGCAAGAACTGTTTGTATGTAAACTAGAACATGAGAAGTTTCTTTTCAGTTCCAAACTCCAGAATTATGAGACATGGGATATATAATAAATCTTTGAGATTTATTAGAGAATAAAATTAGAGAATTTATTAGAGAATAAAATTCTCTATGAAGCACACAAAAGAAATAGTAATCATTTAATTAAGGTGAAATTTACGTAACAAAATTATGTTAGGATTACAGTCATGAGCCACCATGCCCAGCCAACAAAAGTAATGGTTTTTAAAGAAAACAATTAAGTAGTATTTAATACATTCACAATGTTGTACAACTACCACCTCTATGTAGTTACGAAATATTTTCATTACCCCAAAAAGCAAACCTCATCCCCATTAAGCACTTGCTCCCCATTTGTCCCTCCGCTCTCCCTGAGGTACCCGGCAGTCTACATCCTCTATGGACTTACCTAGTCTGGACATTTCATGTAAATGAAATCTTACAATATGTGACTTTTTGTATCTGGCTTCTTTCACTTAGCATATGTTTTCAAGGTTCAACCACCTTGTAGCATGGTATCAGTTCTTCACTCCTTTTTATGGCTCAGTGATATTCCATTTTATATATACAACACAGTTTGTTTAGCCACTCAAAATGTTTTGGAACAAGATAGAGGTGGAGATTGCACAAAACACCACTGAATTCTATGATTGATTGATTGATTGATTTTTGAGACAGTCTCACTCTGTTGCCCAGGCTAGAGTGAGTGCTGTTGCATCAGCCTACCTCACAGCAACCTCACACTCCTGGGCTCAAGCAATCCTTCTGCCTCTGCCTCCCAAGTAGCTGGGACTACAGGCATGCGCCACCATGCCTGGCTAATTTTTTCTATATATTTTTAGTTGTCCAGCTAATTTCTTTCTATTTTTAGTAGAGATGAGGTCTCGCCCTTGCTCAGGCTGGTCTCGAACTCCTGATCTCAAGCGATCCTCCCACCTCAGCCTCCCAGAGTGCTAGGATTATAGGCATGAGCCACCGGACCCTGCCTAAATTGTATACTTTAAAATGGTTAATTTTATATTATGTGAATTATACCTCAATTTAAAGTAATATTCTGCAGAAGGATGGGCTCAGTAAAAAACAAAACAAACAAAAACAAAAACATTTAATCCTCACAACAACCTGATTCTATTATTCTGCCCATTTTACATAAGAAGAAACAGATACCAAAGGGTTCAGCAACTTTTCTATTAATAACATCTACAGTTTATTTGAGTACCTATTTTTTATTCTATTGGTTATATACATAGGAGTGGAGTTAATTGGGTCACATGGTAATTGTATGTTTAAGTCCTTGAGGAATTGCCAAACTTTTCTTTTTCTTTTTTTTTTTAAACAGGATTTCAGGCACCTTTATTTGCAGCAGATATTCTTGGTCAGGGAGCCTGCCCTTGAAATCTATTACATATGGAGGCCAACTCCTGCCCAAGTCCTGACTCTCCCACAACAGCCATGAGCCACATCACTTCCACTTGCCATTTGCAAGGCTCAGAATACATCTGCCCTCGGGTTTCAGCTAGTCTGGTCACAGCCAGTTTGAGTGGGACATTCAGGGGCTAAATCCTGCGGCACAACCAACTGGACCGATAAAAAGAGGCTCTCTCTGTAGCTGGGTAATAATAGTGCTGAATTCATTTTATGACAGAAGAATTTTACTCCTTTGTGTTCCTCATATAATTTATAAATACAAAAATTATTTCTTAATATTATATATTTGCATACAAACAATCACGACTGGTGATATGGGAAACTTAAAAAAATACTATTTTTGGCCGGGCGCAGTGGCTCACGCTTGTAATCCTAGCACTCTGGGAGGCTGAGGCGGGCGGATCGCTTGAGGTCAGGAGTTCGAAACCAGCCTGAGCAAGAGCGAAACCCCATCTCTACCATAAATAGAAAGAAATTAATAGGCCAACTAGTATAGAGAGAAAAAATTAGCTGGGCATGGTGGCACATGCCTGTAGTCCCAGCTACTCGGGAGGCTGAGGCAGGAGGATCACATGAGCCCAGGAGATTGAGGTTGCTGTGAGCTAGCCTGATGCCATGGCACTCACTCTAGCCTGGGCAACAGAGTGAGACTCTGTCTCAAAAAAAAAAAAAAAATTGACAATTTTTTTATACAGGAATTTTTTATACAGGAAAGTTTTAGTGTTTAGTAATTAATAGCACAACTGACCAAGGTCCAAGATGTGAAGCTATCATGTTCAAGAAACTGTGTGATAAATCACTCTATAAACTAACTATATAGTACGTGATAAGAATGCACATTTTGAAATATAAAACCTGTCTACACATAGAAGTTAGCTGCAAAAAGCCATTCAGTCTTCTCTTGGCTTAGAAAAATGGTGTTCCAGATTTCAGTGAAAGTTACTAGTGACCTTCAACTCTTCCGTGTGGCAGGTATCTTGTTTTCACCTTCTAGTTCCTCCACTCCAGCCTGTATCATGAGGTCGGTGATGTTTCTCTCCAGATCATCAATGGGACTACTCATGTCATCAATTCTTCCAATGATCTATCTGGTCAGACGTCGTCTGGAATTGATCTTACATCTGCTGCAGAAGTGTCTGCACCACCAAGGTGAGATCCTGCATGGTCTTGGGGTCAGTCTCGGCCATCTTCCCGGTTCCCAGCTTGGTGGTGATGCCTCAGAGTATCACCTATACTTCCATTTGTCCGCGCAGACGTCCCCACTACCTCTTCTCACAAGGAGACAGGCCACTCTCAGGGGAATTGCCAAACTTTTCCACAGCCACTGGGTATTTCACATTCCTACCAACAAAGTATAAGGATTCCAATTTCTCCATGGCCTCACCAACACTTCTTATTTTCTGCTATTGTTTTTGTATTATAGTTTTGGTTTTTTTTAATGCAGTGGGTGTGAAGTGGTACCTCATTGTGGTTTTAATTTGCATTTTCTAATGACTAAAGATGTTGAGCATCTTTTCACATGTGCTTGTTAGCCATTTATGTATCTTTGGAGAAACATCTATTCAAGTCTTGTACCCATTTTTAAATTTGGGTTGTTTGTCTTTTTATTATAGTGATCTCTTTCAACCACGGTTAGTATTCAACTCCCAAATACCACATATAAGAGGACTCTTCTCCACAACATAACTGCCAGAACTTCTCTTCTTCCTTTTTTTTTGAGACAGAGTCTCACTCTGTTGCCTGGGGCTAGAGTGCCATGGCATCAGCCTAGCTCACAGTAACCTCAAATTCCCGAGCTCTGGGCTCAAGCAATCCTCCTGCCTCAGCCTCCTGAGTAGCTGGGACTACAGGCATGCGCCACTATGCCTGGCTAATTTTTTCTATATATTTTTAGTTGGCCAATTAATTTCTTTCTATTTTTATTAGAGATGGGGTCTCACTCTTGCTCGGGCTGGTTTGGAACTCCTGACCTTGAGTGATCCTCCTGCCTCGGCCTCCCAGAGTGCTAGGATTACAGGCATGAGCCACCACCCCCAGCCTCTCTTCTTCATTTATACTCCCATCTCTGTAGAAGGAGGAGCCCACTTCTCCCACCAAGTCTAACACAGAAGGTAGGGGCAATGTATTCCTAGGGTCCTAAGTTCAAACCAAGAATAAAATAGTACTATTCTCCAACACTACTACCATTTTCAGCCGCAAATATAGGTAGCCATCCTGGGAGGCCAAGCACCATTTATCATTCACAAACTTTTCAAAGAGTCCAAATTTTAAAAGTGGTATTAAGGCTTTTTTAAAATTTGTCTTTTTGAATTAAGTAAAAAGGTAGTCTTACCTGGATACTCATGTCAAAAGGAGTCAATTCGTCTTCACCCAGAGATTCAAACATGGCCCTGGAGGCATCAACCAAAAAAATCAAACTATCTCTTCCTGAATATTTATATTCTCCTATGGGGAAAAAAATGGAAGGAAATGTTTGCCCTTATATTCATATTTATGTTTATCATTAACACAAATAGAAAAAAGCCCATAAAACAAAAGTATAACCTAATGAATTATTGTAAGGTGGACAACCTTAAAACCTCCACCTATGTCAGTAAATTGAGTCTTGCCAGGCACCTCAGAAGTCCTTCCTATGTTCCCTCCCAATTACAACACCTACCTCCCCCCAAAAGTAATCACTACCTTGACTTTTTTTTTTTTTTTCAGACAGAGTCTCGCTTTATTGCCCAGGCTAGAGTGAGTGCCGTTGTGTCAGCCTAGCTCGTAGCAACTTCAAACTCCTGGACTCAAACAATCCTACTGCCTCAGCCTCCCAAATAGCTGGGACTACAGGCATGCGCCACCATGCCCGGCTAATTTTTTCTGTATATATTAGTTGGCCAATTAATTTCTTTCTATTTATAGTAGAGACGGGGTCTCGCTCTTGCTCAGGCTGGTTTTGAACTCTTGACCTTGAGCAATCCACTGGCCTCGGCCTCCCAGAGTGGTAGGATTACAGGCGTGAGCCACCTCGCCCAGCTACTACTACCTTGACTTTTAATAATCACTTCCTTACTTTTCTTTATAGTTTTATCACCCAAGTGTACATTCTTAAACATTAGTTTTGACTTTAAAAAATTGTTTTTTTTGGAGGGCACAGTGGTTCAAGCCTGTAATCCTAGCACTCTATGAGACCCAGGCAGAAGGATTGCTTGAGTTCAGTTCAAGACCAGTGTGAGCAAGAGCAAGACCCTGTCTCTACTAAAAATAGAAAAAATTAGCTGGGTGTTGTGGTGCACACCTGTAGTCCCAGCTACTCAGGAGGCTGAGGCAGGAGGATTGCTTGAGCCCAGGAGTTTGAGGTTGCTGGGAGCTAGGCTAATGTCATGATACTCTAGCCCCAGCAACAGAGCAAGACTCTGTCAATCAATCAATCAATATTTTTGAAGCCTCTTTTTATATGCTCCCTCTTTTTTCTCTTATAATTTATTTGCTAAAGAACCAGAATGCTGGCCAGGCGCTGTGGCTCACGCCTGTAATCCTAGCTCTTGGGAGGCCGAGGCGGGCGGATTGCTCAAGGTCAGGAGTTCAAAACCAGCCTGAGCAAGAGCGAGACCCCGTCTCTACTATAAATAGAAAGAAATTAATTGGCCAACTGATATATATATAAAAAATTAGCCGGGCATGGTGGCGCATGCCTGTAGTCCCAGCTACCCGGGAGGCTGAGGCAGAAGGATCACTCGAGCCCAGGAGTTTGAGGTTGCTGTGAGCTAGGACGCCACGGCACTCACTCTAGCCTGGGCAACAAAGCGAGACTCTGTCTCAAAAAAAAAAAAAAAAAAAAGAACCAGAATGCTTTGTTGTGTAAACTTGTTCACATTCTGGATTTTGCTGATTGCATTCTTTCAGTGTAGATTAACGTAGTCCTCTGTCCTTCCTACTAGGGACCTAGAGAGGCTTAATCAGATTCAGGTTTCCTTTTTCTTTTTCTGGCATGACTATATCATAGATGATGTTGTATTTTTCATAAGACATATAATGTCCAGTTGGCTCCCTTTTTGACACTGCTGTTTCTTAATATAATAAATGTAATTAACCCCCTTTTATAGAACAATATGGCAATATGTGTCAAGAGCCTTAAATAAAAATCTACCTTGATCCAGTCAATTCTACCTTAGGAATATATCTTATAACAAGGTAAGGAAAAAACCCTTATGCAAAATTTTACACAATGTTGTTTATTAAAGAAAGAAATTGAAAATAACTAAAATGCTCAACAGATGAGTTACAAAAATTATATACATGTAGTTTATATATATTATATATTATCTATAAAGATTTTATATATATAACTATATATATATAGTTACTGGAAAGATAATTGATACAACAATACAATCATTTGATACAACAAATGATACAACAATAAGGAAAAAAGGGCTGGGTGCAGTGGCTCACGCCTGTAATCCTAGCACTCTGGGAGGCCAAGGTGGGTGGATCATTTGAGCTCATGAGTTCGAGACCAGCCTGAGCAAGAGTGAGACCCCATCTCTACTAAAAAAAAGAAAAAATTAGCCAGGCATGGTGATGCAGGCCTGCAGTCCCAGCTACTTGGGAGGCTGAGGCAGGGGGCTCTCGGCTGAGCCCAGGAGTCTAAGGTTGCTGTGAGCTAGGCTGATGCCATGGCACTCTAGCCAAGACAACAAAGTAAGACTCTGTCTCAAAAAAAAAAAAAAAGGGCAGAACACAAAATTATGTATATATGTTTAAAATTCTTTTTGGAAGACTGGTATAAATAAATTAAAAATGTATATGCACTATGATTACAATATTATAAATCATATTTTAAAAATTAGATATAGGCCGGGCGCGGTGGCTCACGCCTGTAATCCTAGCTCTCTGGGAGGCCGAGGCGGGCAGATCGGCAGATCCTTTGAGCTCAGGAGTTCGAAACCAACCTGAGCAAGAGGGAGACCCCCGTCTCTACTATAAATAGAAAGAAATTAATTGGCCAACTAAAAATATATAGAAAAAACTAGCCGGGCATGGTGGCGCATGCCTGTAGTCCCAGCTACTCAGGAGGCTGAGGCAGAAGGATCACTTGAGCCCAGGAGTTTGAGGTTGCTGTGAGCCAGGCTGAGGCCACGGCACTCACTCTAGCCTGGGCAACAAAGCGAGATTCTGTCTCTGAAAAAAAAAAAAAAAAAACTAGATATATATAGTTAAGAAATAAAGATTGAAAGATACATCATAAAGGAAACATGCAAAATGCTGGTAGTGGTTGTGTTAGGGTGGTAGATTATACAGGTTATAATAAATTTTCTCTTTTATTTTTTATATTTCCCACATGTTTCTCACTTTTAATGAAAGCACTTTTAAAATTTCTACCCAGGAGTTAAATAGGCCAGTATGTAGATTACATATTCCCCTTATTTCTCTTCCTTTACCCTAAGTGTTACTGTGTAGCCTGAGTATACACTCCCAAACCTGGAAGCTACAGTGAGGAAATTGATCACTTTCCTGTTACTATGTTGCTAATATTTATTCTTTCCTATCTGCAGTTACTGCGGGGTTAAGGCATTTTTACACTGAGGTCCTGGAATGAGTAAAACTACTTTCCTGGGTGAGGAAGGGCCTCACCTGAGGCATTTAAGGTGACAAAAGTCACCCATGGTAATGTATTGAGGCTCAATAGATGTCAATCTACCATTGCCCAGCAAAAATTTAAGGCTAGAAATGTCCCGCAGACTAGAGTAGGACCTAAATCAAAGAGCTTAGGGTAACTCTGCAAAATTCAAAAGGAGAAAAGTATTTCAGATTATCTGGGGAGAGAAGGGTGAGCCATCAGACAGCAAAATCTACCTAGCTGTCTGATGGCTCACCCTTCTCCCCCCAGATAATCTGAAATACTTTTCTTCTTTTGAATAGGCTGGAAAGGTCTTGATAGGCTGGAAAGGTCTTCCTTTCCATACACAGAACGGTACTACTACGTGTTAAAGTCACTTACCACCCGCTTCAAAGCTCTCTTCTTCTTCTTCTTCTTCATCACCCTCAGTTTTGTAATAAGACTCCCACCCTGACATGTTGGTCACTGCTCACTAGGTGAAAGAAGATCATCAGAAACAAGCACGTTTAAGCTGAAAAAATACTGACTTCTAGGCTCTAGTGAAATCTGTTCCAAAGGCTTGGGGTTACTGGTAAGGAATATGGATGATGGATCCTGCTGCCTCAAGAGTTCAGTGCACTTGTGAACCTGAGTGCACAGGTAAATGGACTTGGGGATCACTTCAGCATCCGCCAGTGGCGGCCCGGGGTGGTCGCTGTGATCGGTGTGCTGGCGTAGCCTGACCCTGGAGGTACTGTCCCGCCTCCGGAGCCATATGGATTGTAACCCGCTCCGGGATAGTCTGTTCTGTAGCGGACCCACTCGTCCGCATCCCGCCCCCAAACCTCCCCCAACTGCCCAGGCAGTCACCCCCAGTGAGGTCTCAGACGGAGGCGGGCCTCAAATGCCAGGTGCAGCCTCTACCGGGAGGAAGGAGCGTGATCTACACTCTGTCTCTACTCCTCGGATTCGCACACTTCAGGCTGGCGCTGCCCCCCAGAAAGGCTAGGGGGCAGGGCGAGACTAAGCGGGCGAAGCAGAACGAGGCCAGCCTTCACTGGCGAGCAATGCACACCAGGCACAGACAGCCTACCTTTAGCGCAGGGAAGAGATGAACTTGGACCAAATATGGGGCACCACGCATGCGCGGACTCCTGTGTTTTCTCTCTCCCAATCAACGCCCCTTTACGTCATCACGCATAGCGCGCACTGCTTCCCGTCAGGCTGGCACGCCCACTCTCACAACCGGCTTCTACACGCGTCCCTAACCAAAGCCAACCGGATCAGCGAAAGCCCCGCCCCCTTCGGCAAAGTTCCGCCCTCGCCGCCCGGCAAGGCGGTACGCACATGCGCAAAAGTGCGTCGCCGCCCCCGCCCTCTCTTCTGTGCGGACCCTCCCTGTCCCCTCTCTGTCACCTCACAGTAGTCGTTGCCGGTAGCAGGTGCGGGGGCGCGAGCAGCGCAGGGCGGCCTCTCCCCCGCCCCTCAGGCCGGGCCCGGGCTCGGTCCCCCCGCTCCCTCCGCTCCCCCGCTCCCCACCCCCGGCGGGTACGGGAAGGTCCTAGCCGCTGCCGGGTGCCCGAGGGCCGTCGTGGCCGCCGCCGCCACGAGTCCCAATGGAGCCGCCGAACCTCTACCCGGTGAAGCTCTACGTGTACGACCTGTCCAAGGGCCTGGCCCGGCGGCTCAGCCCCATCATGCTGGGTGAGGGGGACGGGGTCAGACGGGAAGGAGGGCGGGAGCGTGCCGAGGTGGGGGACTCGGGCCACCGTCAGGGAGAGACACGGCCCCGGGGATGGAAGACGAGCCCGAGCGGAGGAGAGAGGGCTCTGAGGTTTGGGACCCCTTTCCTCGCTTCGCATTTGGATCCAGGGAGAAGGGATGAAGGAGGCACGCCCTCCCCCTGCCAGGCTCTCAGAGGCCGAGCCCCCGAGCCCTCCAGAGCCCCTTCAGCTGGGGTGGGGGGTGAACAGCCCGGGATCCTGGCGGGTTCCCTGCCTCGCGTGGGGAGCTCGGCACTCTACGCCTTGCGCGGTGCAGGGGAGGTGAGGATGGCTGCAGCGCGGTGCCCCTCGTGGTGGAAGAGACACTGCCCGAGGGGATTCTCCGAGATTATGGGTGGCCCCCGGAGAACCTTCCCTCCACGTCAAAAAGAAACTCCTGCTGTCCCGAGGATAGGTGGGGAGGTAGAGGTAGAGCTGCACAGGGGCCGAGCCTTCGTCCCCAGGTGGAGGTCAAGTCAGGTAAACAGGAGCCGGAACTACAGAATTCACCAAGTTGGGCCTGACAGTGCGTCTTCTTTCAACAGTTTCTAAGTTAATTGCTTTTGCCCATATGGTAAGAAAGCAATTCTGGGGGAGGGTTGGATGCTGTTGTGTCAGTGAGGATTAGTAACGGAAGTATTTCGGTTGTGCTCCATTAAACCACTTAAATGCCAGGAGAGAAAAATCAGCCCTCATTGAGTAAAGAGTGCTCACTGCAACCCAAATACTTGTGTAACGTAGGAATTGTCAGGTTTGTGATTTCTGGTAACAATGGGCAGGAAAGGGTTCCAGGAATAGAAAAATGAACAGCTTTGACAACATCCATTTGAATGGCTAGTTTTTACTGGCTTCTGTGGCGATATTGGAAAATGATTTAGTTCATCTCAGTGAGACAAAGGGGCAGAGATGAAATAGTAAGGATACTTTTGAAGGCATCTTTTCAGTGTCCTTGAGTTTCTAATATGCATAGTGAATTGAACCTAATCTTTCAGCTCTGGCCAGTGAGTGATTTCTATATTTGGCTTCACATCAGAATCATCTAGGGTGCTTGTTAAAAATAGAGATACCTTCATTTCCAACATAACAATTGTTAAATGGGATTAGAAAAAATAAGGTTAAAATAGTTCTTTAAGCATGAAAGTATGCATTTAAACAAGGGGTATTATGTGTTTGCTTTGGCAAATAATTATCCGGAAGGATACACAAGAAATTGGTAATAGTGCTAGCCTGTAGAAAGGGGAACTTGATGCCAGGAGGACAAGAGTAGACCCATGAGGACAAGAGTAGACAACTTTGCTGTAAACTTCTTACTTTCTGAACTGTGTACTACATACACATATTATCTATTCAAAATAAGAAAAGGTTTAGTTAAATGGATTCTAGAGCCTTACTTTGAAAATACTAAATCAGTTGAATGTTTATAGCAGCACAATTCACAATTGCAAAGATGTGGAAACAACCCAAGTGCCCATCAATACATGAGTGGATCAACAAAATGTGGTATATGTATACCATGGGGTACTATTCAGCCATTAAAAAAAATGGTGAACTAATACCTCTTGTATTAACCTGTATGGAACTGGAGACCATTCTTCTAAGTGAAGTATCACAAGAATGGAAAAACAAACACCACATGTACTCACCATTAAATTGGAACTAATCAGTCAACACCTATGTGCACATATGGAAGTAACATTCATTAGGGTGTCAGGCAGGTGGGAGGGGGGGAGGAAGGGATGGGTAAATTCATACCTAGTGGATACAATGCATGCTGTCTTGGGGATGGGCACACTTAGAACTTTGACTTGAATGGTACAAAAGCAATTTATGTAACCAAAATGTTTGTACCCCTATAATATTCTGAATTACAAAAAAGAAGAAGAAAAACATATATATATAAATAAAAAACAAATACTACATCAGAACCTCCTAGATTTTTGGTCCAAAAAATATATATTTTTAATAAGCTTCTCAGATAATTCTTATGTGGCCAACCTGTATTGGACAGAAGTTTGGGCCTAGTTGTTAAAATGAGTAAGGCAAATCTAAAAGTAAAACTTACAAAGTCATTGAGGAAGGTGTTACTCATTAATAGGTTACATCAGTCAAGTTCTAACTAAGCTTCTTGGAATGGAGCCATTTGATTAGCTTGATCATGGTGAGGAGTCACTTAGGTATTTCTTAAATAAAAGCCTCCCCCTTTATACTGGGTATTTTTGTTCTATTACCTAATAATTATTATGTTGAACTGAAAGTGGACGTAGGGATCATTGCTTCATTCATTCAGCAGATATTGTCTATAATGTGCTAGTCAGAGTGTAAGCTGAGGATGATATAATGAATAAAGATGTTCTTTGCCATCTATAGAGCTATCTAATGGGGGAGACATTAAATATAAATAAATACATCAGCAAATAAAAATGGTTAGAAATCATGTTAGTGCCCTACTGTGCAGGAAGCAAACTGGGTGCTGAGATAGAAAATAACAAGAGAGACCTACTTTAAATAAGAGTATCAGGGATAGTAACTTTTAAGCTGGGACTTCAGGATGAGGAAGAAGTAGCCACAGGAGGGTAGTGAGGGAGTTACATTGTTCCTGGTAGCAGAGGGATCAACCTGCCAAGGCCCTCAGGCAGGAAGGAGCCCAGCCTGGTACTGAAACTGAAAGGCTGTTGTGGCATATAGTGGGTGAAACGGAAAGTGCCATAACTGAAGGTGAAGTCTCAGACCTGCTTTCTCCCCTTTTAAGTAGATGTAAAACCCTAGAAGGGCTCAGCTGAACATGAGAATATCACCCATTTGGCATATTAGATTGGAATGATGTTTCCAAGGACATCATCTTGTCTGCTAATCTACTTCTCTCTTATTTACCTCTTTTTCCTGTATTGCTTTTATACCTTTTACCTTTTATAAAAATAATGAAGAGTTAGCAAAGTGAGTTGTTATTACTTTCTAGAGCTGAAAATTTATGGAAAACAGGCATTGCCTTACTGGTTCATCCCATTCAGACACCCCTAACCTTAAAAGTTGGATATGTCCCAGTTGTGTTAGTAGCCATATGTTGATTGCCCATTCCTAAATATATTTGAACCCTTAAAAAATCCATTTGTTGGCTGGGTGTGGTGGCTCACGCATGTAATCCTAGCACTCTGGGAGGCCGAGGCGGATGGATTGCTCGAGGTCAGGAGTTCAAAACCAGCCTGAGCAAGAGCGAGACCCCATCTCTACTATAAATAGAAAGACATTAATTGGACAACTAATATATATAGAAAAAATCAGCCGGGGTCAAAACCAGCCTGAGACAGACGAGACCCGTCTTACCTTAAATAGAAGATTAATATGGCAACTGTCATATATATAAAAATTAGCCGGGCATCGGTGGCGCATTGCCTGTAGTCCCAGCTACTCGGGGAGGCTGAGGCAGAAGGATCACTCAAGCCCAGGAGTTTGAGGTTGCTGTGAGCTAGGCTGACGCCACGGCACTCACTCTAGCCTGGACAACAAAGCGAGACTCTGTCTCCAAAAAAAAAAAAAAAAAAAAAAAAAAAAAAAAAAAGAGTATCAGGGAGATTAACTTTTAAGCTGGGACTTCAGGATGAGGAAGAAGTAGCCACAGGAGGGTAGTGAGGGAGTTACATTGTTCCTGGTAGCAGAGGGATCAACCTGCCAAGGCCCTCAGGCAGGAAGGAGCCCAGCCTGGTACTGAAACTGAAAGGCTGTTGTGGCATATAGTGGGTGAAACGAAAGTGCCATAACTGAAGGTGAAGTCTCAGACCTGCTTTCTCCCCTTTTAAGGTAGATGGAAAACCCTAGAAGGGCTCAGCTGAACATGAGAATATCACCCATTTGGCATATTAGATTGGAATGATGTTTCCAAGGACATCATCTTGTCTGCTAATCTACTTCTCTCTTATTTACCTCTTTTTCCTGTATTGCTTTTATACCTTTTACCTTTTATAAAATAATGAAGAGTTAGCAAAGTGAGTTGTTATTACTTCTAGAGCTGAAATTTATGGAAAAAGAGCTGGCCTTACTGTTCATCCCATTCAGACACCCTAACTTAAAAGTTGGATATGTCCCAGTTGTGTTAGTAGCCATATGTTGATTGCCCATTCCTAAATATATTTGAACCCTTAAAAAATCCATTTGTTGGCTGGGTGTGGTGGCTCACGCATGTAATCCTAGCACTCTGGGAGGCCGAGGCGGATGGATTGCTCGAGGTCAGGAGTTCAAAAACCAGCCTGAGCAAGAGCGAGACCCCATCTCTACTATAAATAGAAAGACATTAATTGGCACTAATATATATAGAAAAAATCAGCCGGGCATGGTGGCACATGCCTGTAGTCCCAGCTACTCAGAAGGCTGAGGCAGGAGGATCACTTGAGCCCAGGAGTTTGAGGTTGCTGTGAGCTAAGCTGATGCCAGGGCACTCACTATAGCCTGGGTAACAAAGCAAGACTCTGTCTCAAAAAAAAAAAAAAAATGCTGAGCATGGTGGCGCATGCCTGTAGTCCTAGCTACTTGGGAGGCTGAGGCAGCAGGATTGCTTGAGCCCAGGAGTGTGAGGTTGCTGTGAGCTAGGCTGATGCCACAGCACTCACTCTAGCCTGGGCACAACGAGACCTGTCTCAAAAAAAAAATACCAAAAACAATGTACGTGTGCCCTTCATAATCTTCCAGATTTATGATCACCCTCTTGGCTTTCATTTCCCAACTAAAATTGTTTGTCTTCATTAGCAATACCCTCTCGTGCTTCCATTATGTCAGTTCTCCATTGTGAGGCCTCATCTAGTTCTGTTGCAGTTCAGGGTTGGACTAGATAAAGCCCAAGATAATTCCCCTTACCCCCAAAATGATGTAGACTCCATGGTTTTACCATATTGTGTTTTCAGTCTCCTAGAATTGCCTCTCATGAAGGTGTTCCTGTTCTACAATTCTTCA